GGTGTGCCGGATGTCCGCGAACTCGGAGTGCTGTGGTACAGGTGGAGGCTGGCCGCTGCGAACCCACTGTCTCATGTTCATGATTCGATGATAGAGACTAAGGTCTGATATTGCGAGAGCTTGCGCTGCTCTGGCGAAGTGGTGAACCGAAATGCCGCAGTTTGTCTCAGCTGTGCAATCTGCGTTCGCCGCAACAAGAAAGTTGCTGCAGGTCTCGAAACCGTAAGCCTGTCACCAAATGTGAAGGTTAGCATGTTTCATCTTTGGCGAAGCACTCATGTACTTACCACGGTGAGGTGAAGCGCAGAAATGCCATGGACGTCTTTGCCATTAACCCAGACCCTAGCATCGTCGACCCCCAAGGGAATGTTCCGCTTTAGTAGTGCAGCAGCGTCGCCATCTGAAAGTCCGTGTACCTTGGCATGGAGGATGATAGACGCGGCAGGGATGTTGAATGTTCTTGCCTCAGCACTCAACGTATCTGCGACATAGTCTGCTGTCTGGCGATCAGGATTGTGGTACCATCGTTCGTATTCAGACAAGTGCACATTGTGCACTTCCATGAACGCGATGCTCGTAAAGGATATATCGGCACGCACAGGAGTACCGAATGTGGAAGCTCTCGAACAGGCAGGCGAAGCACCAGCTGAAGACACCAAGGTCTCTGCATATTGAGACAACTGCCTCGCGAGTTGCATGATGAGCGGACCAGATTCTCCTGCTTTCCTTGCTAGATGTCGAGCGATCGTGAGGATATTGAGGGTGGCGGCAAGCTCTCGTCTTTTAGCGTAGCTCAGTTTCTTTGGACCTTCCTGGCATTGTTGGCTTTCATCCGACTTCCTTCTTTTAAGTGGTCGACGTCTGGGAGCAGATTCCGAAGACACATGTGTCGAGGGTTGAAACTGGTCTTTCGCGAACGCCACAGTTCGAGCTCGAAGCGTGGTTACCAGCTCTGGTTCCTCCCGGTCGTACACCGGTAAGTCCTCATGATGGGTTGGCACATCTTCGCCAGGCTCGCCTTCGAATGTCGGAGCACCATCGCCGCCAGGAAAGGCAACGTCGACTCGGTGTTGACGATGTCGGAAGTCCGAAACGTGCGCGTTCACATCAATGGGTTGCGCCCGCGATGTCTCAGGGGACGGCGCCTTTGGATACTGTTCGTCACATTCTGTTATGATGCAACCATTGCTAGAGGACCCTGATAGCGCGGTTGGCGTTGCGGCAATGGCCGCCAGTTGAGCTTCTTTTCGCTTTAAAGCGTACCCAGGCTTACTCCGAAGCCGCATGCTATCCACCTTATTCGTGCCTACAATTCGTTGGATCCTGTCTCTCAGCCAATTCTTTCTGTCGTCACGCTTAGCATTACGACAGCGGTTCCTCAGCAAGCCAAACATACCCTGGTCCGTCTGATTGTTCAACAGCATCTGCAATGTCATCGAACGGTACGTCGGTATAGTCAAGGAATCTCAGCAGGCCTCTTTCGACCTCCTCGGGCAACATGAAAGGCCTTCTACCTCTCTTTTGTTGCCCAAGATTTTGAAGCGATGCAGCTTGGTTCAGCCCTTCAAGAGGGGGACCAGAGGGTCGTTGTGGAATGCGAGCCTGTCGAGGTGCAGGAGTTGCACTCCAGGGAGTGCGTCCGCGCTTTCGGGAAGAACCCATCGCCGAAGGCGAAGGGAGCTGTGTGGCGTACATGTAAGGGAAATCCATGCTCAAGGAGAAATATCTGGCTGTGCTGTCGTTTGTATTGGACGTTCTCTTATGCTGTCTGGCCTTTCAAGCGTACATAAGGGAGGAAGGGGGCAGACCGCCATTCGCAGGCTGGTGGACCTGTGTGGCCATGGCAGGCCGATGTCCCAACACATCCATAACGTTGCCTTTTCTTGGCGTGCCGAGACCCAATGATTATTGGGAAAGGCCATCGCATCGTGGCGCAAGCAAGAAATGTGACGAGAGTCGGATCTACTGCTTCCATGTTAGATAAATCACGCAGTCTGGGAGTCAACAGAACTGCTAGGCATCAGTGTTGCCTGAACCCCACCATACCACTCAATTGATGATTGGCTGGTCCCGGTACATTGGTACTTGAGAGGTCCGCAAATGCCTTCGAGGACGAGACCAAAAAGCTATATCGCCGCTGACACGATCCGCAGCTCGCAAAGCCTCACTTCTTTTGCCACAGCCGCCTTCTCACGGAGTGCCAGAGTTCGACTTATCAAGTCCTCACACCGAACACTTCTTCAGACGTACATACGAATGTGAACTTCCGATGGCTGCCGAACGCAACAGGCACCAACGTGAAAAGCAGACACTGGGCCATGTTGGTCAAGGTCACGTTTCTTTTGCCACCCGCACTCACGGACCAGTCCTCGATGGCTCTTGAAGGTCCGGCGCGGATGCAATTGCACACTCTCCAAGCACGCTTCGCGGCGAAATGAATACTATGGCACCTTTTGTGCATAGTATGCAAATTGAGACTCCGGATAAGCAACAGGCCATCGCATATAAAACGAGGACAAGTATGGAGTCTTCCTGGCGTCCCTCGTCAGTAGTATCGTATCGAAGATCAGTACAGCAGTCTCACCTCAAATCATATACAGAGCTTCTACCACTGACTGTTTACAATCTCCAACGCGACTGCGAGGACCACTGAAACACTCAACCACCTCCCACCGTCGAACCCAAGCTCGTGCAAGGAGCGAAGGTCCACGGAGACTACCAGATATGCCTTCGGAACAGAAGCCCAGGCCGAGGTGAGTTACCTTAGATAGGTTCATGATCGCCTTGGGACCTGGCTGACATCTCAAATCAGGTCGAGCGAGAGCAAGAGGGAAGACTCAAAAGCACCGAAGGAAGAACGGAAGAAGGACCGCTCCAAGCCCAGCAGGAACTCCTCACAGGGGAATCCTTATGGCATCGACAGATGGCTAGATGAGAAACAAGGCGGGCTCAAAGGGGATGAGCCGTACTTGGCCGGGTATTATTGGAAGGAGCGCAAGTAGCAGCCAGGACGGTGCGGTGTCGAGCCTGGATGCTCGGGGGAGAGCGGAGTGGTGATTTGGTCGGGCCTGGCGTTGTGGCGATAGAGATACCCTGTGCGTAAGCCTTGTAGATGAGCGGAGATGTATGTTATATTCAGGTTCTTTACATGTAAGGAAGCATGAGAGTAAAAGAAGACAACGCGTAACAGTACTAGCATACGGCTATTTCCGCTCTTCTTTAGGCTAGTCGCAATTGGGAAGGAGCATTTCGTAGACCACATCTTTCCCTCGTGTCTTCAGATATGATCCATTTCGGGTTCGGGAAGGTTCGCTGCAAGGCGAGAAACCGCGAAGATGGTGAATATCACAGAGAAGATTAAGGAGTAAGCCGAACGTTTCTACCAAACTTTCGACCAATTTTGACAAAATGGCAGGATCGAGGAGGAGATGAAAAAGACGCAGAGTACGCCGGTCAATGTTACTAGATGAAAGCCGGACGCTGACTGCTCTCAGAAAACAAAGCAACAGGTATGCCACTCCTCGAATGCCCATCCGCGGGACTATCGCTAACAGCAAGCAGAATACCATCTCGGACTTCTCAAAGGGTAAATACCTTTCGATGAGCTCCAAATGCGGTCTCTGTACTGAAACCATCCCAGAAAACTTGCCCGACTACGAGCACAGCTTCTAGAACCTGGACCTGGTGGTGTAGGCACGGCCGGAACTGGCTTCGATGTCTCGAAATCTGGTGATGCACGAATAGCTCTGGTTGGCTTCCCATCCGTCGGCAAGTCGACATTCCTTTCGAAAGTGACGAAAACGAAGTCGGAAGTCGCTGCCTACTCCTTCACGACCCTCACAGCTATTCCGGGTGTGCTCGAGTATGGTGGCGCTGAGATCCAAGTCCTGGATCTGCCGGGTATCATCGAAGGTGCTGCTGAAGGCAAGGGGAGAGGGCGACAGGTGATATCTGCTGCGAAGGTAGTCGATTTGTGCAACTCTTAACTTTCGCCACTGATCTGCGTTCAGACAAGTGACATGGTTCTCATGATTCTGGACGCCACCAAACGAGCAGAACAGCGATACCTGCTCGAGCGAGAACTAGAAGCCGTTGGCATCCGCTTGAACCAAGACCCACCCAACATCTACCTCAAGCAAAAGAAAGCCGGCGGCATGAAGATCACCTTCTCCGCACCTCCCAAGTATCTCGACGAGAAGATGCTCTACAACATCCTCCGCGACAACAAGATGCTGAACTGCGAAGTTCTCGTGCGTGACGAATATGGTACCTCGAATTCTTTCCTTTGTATCCCTTGCCAATCCAACTAACACCCCTTCCAGCAACCGTCGACCAATTCATAGACGTCATAATGAAGGACCACCGCACCTACATCAAATGCCTCTACGTCTACAACAAAATCGACTCCATCTCCCTCGAGCACCTCAACACCCTCGCCCACGAACCGCACACCCAAGTCATGTCCTGCGAGCTCGACCTCGGCATCACAGACGTCGTCGAGCGCTGCTGGGACGAGCTCAAATTGATCCGGATCTACACCAAACGGAAAGGCATCGACCCAGATTTCTCGGAAGCGCTGATTGTGCGGGATAAGAGTACGATTGAGGATGTTTGTGATGCGATTCATCGGACGCTGAAGGAGAGTTTCAAGTATGCGTTGGTGTGGGGGGCGAGCGCGAGGCATGTGCCGCAGAGGGTGGGGTTGGGGCATACGGTTAGTGATGAGGATGTGGTGAGTATTGTTGGGAGTAAGAGTGGGTTGGCTACTACGACGAAGTAGGGGGGAGGTAGGGAGTGCTGATGTGATGAACAAAAATGTCGCAAGCCACTCAGCTACGGACCTGGTTCCCTCCAAAGATTGAAGAAGCCATTACGGTCAACATCGCCGCATTCACAGACTCCTTTGGCACAGCTCGAGACCCAACTTCATCTAACTTCCACTCGTCTTCCGGCATGGGCATTTCTAAGCTATATATACTATTCCCAGAAAAACCCAAGCGGCTCATGTGGTCCAGTTGGTTAGGACACCCCCCATTGCCGAAGTGCTGCCGAAGTGCTGGGTGTAGTAACGGTGGTTCGATCCCATCCATGGGCATCCTTTGGTGATTTCAGTTGCTTACCGGACATGGTGGTGTCTTTTGCTTGTCAAATCCCAAGCACTTCTTGTTGGTCTCGGTAAGTCCCCACGAACCTATCTAAACTATTTCAAAAAGATGATGCACGGCTCGAGTGGTACAGTGGCGGTACACCCCTGCCCATGCGCGGCGACAGATGGTTTGACTCCTCTCATGGACAGCCATCTGTATCTCCTTTGGCCACTCAGATAGTCGTATGTGCTCTAGGATCGATCCCAGTAAGGTCCGTTTGCTTGGTCGGGCCCCTGCAGCTGCCCGTCGAGCCCGTTCGATGCACATCTCCCATCCCTGAGCTATGAACGAAGCCACGAAGTCCGCCCCACCGATGCTGCAGTGAACCTACATAACCTCTTCCAAAACAATCGCTCTCGGGTCGGTAAGTATGGGCCACGCATGTGATCTCACTGCCCACTTGCTGACAGCGCCTTAAGTGTGGTGCAGTGGCAGCACGATACCAATCTGGCGCAAGCCACTGTGGTAGTAACGGGAGGTTCGATTCCCCCCACGGTACGTTATGGCCGTTTATACCATGTCGTGGAAACTTGCTGATGAGGTTGGACTGGTAGGCCATTTGAGTTGGGATCTTTTGGAATTCTTTGGTCGGCCTTGAACCTGATGAAAGGCAGCGTCGTTCAGTGTAGGATAGCAGTTGCGTTTGTCCAGCCATTCACTACGGTGATAACTCTCATTGGTATCCCAGCCTTCGTATTGGCACAACGGCCTCCTCAAAAAGTAACGAAATGTGAAAAGCGTGCTTGATTTTACCAACCTGTAGAAACGAACGGCGCGTCACTCCAAAGTCGACAATGGTGTACTGGCCGTTGCGAAAATCGAGCCGTGTATAATCTCATTAGCATAGTATGACATCTAAAGCGACTCACAAAGAGAAAGGAGGTACCGAAGACCAGCCAAAAGCAATACTCATGGATGGGATGCAACCACCGTCACCGCCCTGCGCATTGGACCCATGGCCGGTATCTTACCAATTGGACCACAGGAGCTTGGTGGGTTGGCTTTTTGGGCATGGGTTATATAGTTTCGAAATGCCGTGCCGAGATGGTACCGAGGAAGAAGAGAGAAGCCGGGTTTCGAGCTGCATGGATGTAGTCCGTACTGCGTCAAAGTAGTCCGTGCTGCATCAAAGTAGTCTGGTACGATGGGGTCGTTTCGATCGTCCGGTTTGACCTGAGAAGTAGAGGTGGATGAAATCGGATTTCGTTGATGCAGCTGCACACCTTGATATCTTCCCATCTCGAAAACGCCGCCCAATACTCCCACCATAGTTACCGCTATGCCCGCTTCAAAGCAAATGAATCCTCCCATATCATACACCCACCCGCAACCCACCATCATTACTTCCTCTTCCCAGGTTTCTTCCTGCTCTCTACACCCCACCACCCTCATTAGCACATTCCCAAACCACCCCTCAGCCCCCACAGATGGAGAACAGTACTCACCAGCAGCACTCTTCTTCTTCTTCGGCGCCCCCTTGCCCTTCGCCTTCAGAATCTGCAAATGCTCCAGCCGATCCTCCTCCTTCTCATCATACATCTCCCACTCCGGATACACCTTCTTCAGATCCTGAAAAGTCGCTACTCGGCGCGGGTAGTAGGAGGCGAGAGCGGGACCGCGGAGGCGTTGGCGCAGGATCTTGTTGCCGAGGCGGAGGCCGGTGGGGTTGAAGATGGTGCTGAAGATGTTGCTTTGTGCCTGGAATAATGGGTGTTAGGGATGCTGGTGTTGGGGGGTGGGGAGAGGAGATGTGTACCTTCATGAGGTCGACGATGCGCGATCGGGGGACTGCCATCGCAGCTGCTGCTGGGACGAGATGGGGTTCCCCGGTCTCTTGAAGGTGATGTCCGGCGAGCTTATACCAGCGGACGCTCGCGCGCTAGCGTCGATTCCTCCGTGCCAATGAGAGCCATAGAAATCTTGGCAGAAATCGCTCGACCATAGATTCCTATCTTTTCGCATTTGAGCCTCTCCGACATCCAACCCCCACCACCGACGCTCATCTCAGCCCTGTCACCACCCTACGACCTGACAGTGCCGCGGAGAGCAGTCCATCATCACCATGAAGCGATCCCACCCCTCCAACGCCGACTCCGTGCCTCCCCAGCCCAAAAAAGCGAAGCAAGATCACTCAAATGGTCCCACATACGCCTCCGTGCCCGCCTACACCCCCTTCACAGTCTCAACCCGTCTCCCACCACTGCCACCAGTAACAAACCCTGAGCTGACCACCGCAATCTTCACCCACCGCTCCACAGTCTCCTACTCCCGCACCACCACCTCCTCAACCCCCGCCTTAACCTACGACCGCCTCGAATTCCTCGGCGACGCCTACATCGAACTCATCGCCACCCGCCTTATCTACGCGCGCTTCCCTTACCTCCCTGTCGGACGGCAAAGCCAGCTTAGGGAGTTGGTGGTCAAGAACGAGACGCTTGCGGAATACAGCCGCGCGTACGGGTTCGATAAACGGGTTGAGGTGGGCGCGTTGGATCGGATGGTGGAGGAGGGGAAACAGAGGGGGAATAAGGGGTTTAACAAGGTTCTGGGGGATTTGTTTGAGGCATATGTGGCGGCTGTGGTGCTGTCGGATGCTGAGGAGGGGTTTGCGGTGGTGGAGAAGTGGTTGACGGGGTTGTGGGCGGGGAAGCTTGAGGAGGCGGTCAGGGGGGAGGTGCCAGGGACAAAGCTGAGGCATGAGGAGGGGGAGGTTGATATGAGTAAGGTCTACGACCCGGCTGCTAAGGCGGAGTTGCAGAGGAGGGTGATGGGGAAGGAGGTTAAGTTGAGCTATGAGGCTGACAGACCGTTTCTCGAGCTGAAGGGTGATCAGTTAGGTCAGAATAGGCACTTTGTTGCTCTCTATCTGACTGGCTACGGCTACGAGAGGAAGTTGCTCGGCAAAGGCGAAGGTAGAAACAAAGTTGAAGCAGGCAGTTGGGCGGCGACGGAGGCTATGTATGGTGAGACCAAAGAGCTCGTCGAGGAGTGCGCGGAGAAGCTCAAGGTCGTTAAGAAGGCAAAGGAGGAAGACAGGGCGAGGAAGGCTGCAGAAAAGGAAGCCGCAGCGGCAGGCTCTCCGCCGAAGTGACGAGACGGTATGGCGACCAGCGCTGCGTGAGCATCAGAGTGTCAGATTATAACCACGAGAACGCCGTGACTCGATGGTAGCGTCTTGAGTGCCTCAACACAACTCAGAGAACACGTCTTCCGCGAGCATATAGCCAGATCGTCCGGTGTAGAAGTCTCAAGGTCTACGTACCTTAGTGGATGAGATAATAAATCTCCATCTTAAATATCGCTATGGCAAGAATATTTCTAGAGCATCTCATATTTCTACTATGCCTCATCCTACCAATCCTCGCCGCCCGAGAGGTACCTGTACCCGAATTGACACATTAGCCTTCGACACATACATACGTGAATGGGAGACTGTTCTCGTCCAGTGTATGTCCTTGCCCATTTAACATTCAAACTCCTGCTGATCCTCGTGTCAAAGTCAAAAGTCGATACTCACGCCATTGCAAGCAGCTGGCTCCGGCGTACGCAACGGCCGCGACGTTCCTGGAGGACTTCGGGATCTACCTTGCGGCTGTGGACTGTCAAGATTTCTCCGAGCTGTGTGACGAGCATGGGGTCAACAGTTGGCCGACGTTGAGAGTGTATCGTGGTAATCCGGAGGTGTATGAGGGTTATGAGGGTGGGAGGGGGGTGGAGGAGTGAGTCCGCCACTGAGTATGGCTGCGGGCGGTTGGCTGACAGAAGTACAGCTTCATCACCTACTTTAACAAGACGTGCCCGCCGGAGATTTGTCCAACCACAACGACTACCGCAGGAATACCACCACCAACACCACCACCCAACCCCTCCCCAAACACCACCGCCCCCAACGCCATCTGGCTCGCCGAAGACCACTCAATAGCCCTACTCAAACTCCACATCCCCGGTCTCGAAACCACATGCCCCCTCGACTCCCCCTCCCAACCCCTCTCCATCCTCCTCAACTTCACAATCTCACCCAACGGCCACCATCTGGTCCTGAACTCCCACCCCCTCGCCCTCCAAGTTCCCGATCCCTCCCGTCCGCCACAAATCCTCGCACCGCGGATCCCAGCCAACGGCGATCTGGAGGACTACTCACGCTTGAACCTCTTCGATGTAGACTACGTCGCGACGCAAGGCGGACATCTGATCACAGCACTGGACTACGCGATCTATGCCCGGAATAGGGATGATCCTGGGATAAGGTATTATAATTACCACCCGGATATATACGTGGATGTTATTGGGGCTGGGGTTCCTGGATGGCCGGTGCAGACGACGCTGATGGATGGGGTGGAGCAGAAGGGGGTTAAGATCGTGCTTTACGATTCCGCGGATTCGAGGTCTGGTCTTGGTTCTGATGATCCAAACAGAAGATATGCTATCGAGTCGGTCTCATTCGTAGACCGTCCACTCAACTACAGAGCGCCCAGACCGGACGATCGGAAGTGCAGTCTCTGGAGCTGGCGGTGTGCGAATCTTGGGGATCCGCCTTGGTATCAGTTTGTTTGGCCGCAGAACTTTGATCGGTATGGGCGGATTGGGTGTACGCGAAGGGTGGTGTTGATGTGGAAAGAAAGGGTGGAGGGGTGGCTGCCAGTGCCGTTGTGGGTGGTTGTGGTCGGGTGGGGGGTGATTGGGGGGTGGAGGTGGTGGAGAAGGGATGGGAGGGTGGGTGGTGGGAAGGGGGGTAAGCTGCTGATTGGGAGATGATGGATTTCATGAAGGAATTCAACCACTCAAAATAAATGGCCCTATCCGGATCCGTGCTAAGAGCGACTGATACGACAACGAGCATCACACACGGCTCCTCAGGAACTGGTAGATTTCGAGGGACGCCTCCTCTCCGAGCTCAAGACGACTCCAGACCACACGGCCACCGTTCCCCTCCCACCTGGCCTCACTA